TCAGCACCAGCAAGATTGGATGAATCATGTGGCTGGTCCCAGGGCATAGCTTGGGTCTTGGTCTGGATTTTGGAGGTCTAGGTCCCAGGCAGTGGGGAGAGAAACTAGAGGGTTTGTGCAGGTGGAAAAAGACAGAAACTCATGGAGGTGACACAGGAGGGCAGCTTGAGACAATCACCCTGACTCAAAAAGGCTACCTTGTGTGGGTGGCTCCAGAGGGGAGAAGACCAAGATCTCTGGCCTCAGATACTCTTAGGCTTTAAGAAGTTAGAAGTGATTCAGTCTGGACCATCTCTTCTTCCTAAATAAGTACACACATGTTGATCCAGTTCCAGGCCGAGCCCCTGCCCTGGTTTCAGAGGAGCCCTGGTTCCTTCTCTTTCTTGGTTCCTGGGGAGAAAGACTGGCCTGTGGGAATGGTGCTGTCTGGGGTGCTGATGGCAAAGTCAGCCCATAGCTGCAAGTGAAGAGCGGAAAGGCTCGATTCATCTTCCTACCCACGTTTCCACTCCCCCATCTGTGACCCACTACCAACCATCCACCAATTTTCTCACCTATATACCATCCACTCATTTTCCCAACTGTTCCCACCTACCCATCCATCTATCCACCCATCCATTTTCCCATCTACCCACCCATTTACCATCCACCCATTTTCCTGTTCACTTATCCATCTACCTTACTCACCCACTTATCCATTCACCCCCTCATTTTCCACTCACCTACCCACCTACCCACTTAGCCACCCATTTTTCCCACCATCTCACTTATCTACCAATCCACCCACCTACCTACCCACCATTTTTCAACTCATTCATCTACTCATCCATCCACCGTTTACCCATTTTTCTATTTACCTACCCCATGTACCTATCCATCCACCATCCACCTATTTTTTCCACCCACCCACTCATCTTCATTAAATTAAACCATAAAACCACAGAACTAGGTATAGCAAACTAGAAAGACCCATTTATACTAGGGAGGAAATCAAGACTCAGAAGAGGAAAGGGGTGTGTTTAAGGCCACATGGAGCTTTTGTCGTCAATCTGGGACAGGACTGGAAATCACTGCTCTTGCCTGTACACCACAGAATCTCCCCTGGGGTCTGGGAAATTGCCTGGCTGTTATGCTGATATTTACACTGGTGTTTGTTCACAGAAACTGCAAGGACAGGAAGTGTGACCTCTCCACCCCACCCTGAGCCCGGGCTCCTGTGTGCATGCACGTGTGTGTAGTGTGTATGTGTGTGTGTGTGTGTGTGTGTGTGTGTGTGTGTGTGTGTATGCCTTAGTGCTTACTTGTGCACTCCATGGGTTAATGGCTGTGTGTGCAGCATCTGCATGCAACTGTGGGCTGAGGTGTTTACATGGTAGCATGTATGTATGTGGCACGTGCAGGTGGGCATTTGACAGGGATGGCTTCCTGTGACTGTTTTTCCTTCGTTCTTCCTTTTGAGATTCCTGAGCCACTAGTCCAGTTTGAGGCTGGCTCCCCACTGTATCTCCAATTTAGGGATTACCCAACTTCCTGTTCACAGCTGTTCTTTCCACAGAGGCTGCCTCTCTGCCCTGTGAGTCCAGGCCTCATGTGTTTTTAGCTTGGACCCCTCCTCTAGCTGGTGCAGACCCAGGAATGATACCTCAGTGCAAGTGGTATTTGAGCAAGCTGTGAATGTGTTTTTGAGTGCCAGGCCTGAAGTGGCCCATTTCCTGCACCCAACATCCATCCCACTCCTGGGCAGATCAGGCTCCAAGGCAGATGAAGGGAAGGCCTCCAGGCTTAGAGCCTTGGCTCCATCAATCTGTATCCTGCCTACTCTGGCAAGAATGGAGAACCCCTCTTTGCAGGTGTCCCAACTCTCCCTAAGTTTCCTTGCCTTCTCACCTGCCCCACTGTCATTTTCCTGCCCTTGGCCTAAAAAGTCACAGAAAACTGGTCAATCAGAACAAAGGCCAGACAGGCAACCACCAATTGGAGTAAAGGACAGCTCAGGGCATCTCTCAATCAAAGCAAAGGGCAGGTTGAAGAACTGACCAATCAGAACAAAGGACACACTTTTCTATAAGTCCCTGGGGTAGGAGATGAGAGTTAGCGCCAGTCAGGGGTAGGAGAGCTTGAGGTTTGGGTGAACTTTGACTACAGAGGGATCATTGCTTCTCTTTGAGCCTCAGTTTTCTCATCTGTCCAATGGGGGAAACAGTTGTCTATAGCTTGTGGCTTTGAAATTTTCTCTTGCTTCGAAGGCTCACTCCATTGCTTTGACCTTACTCCCCTAGTTTCCTTAGCACGCGTGCGCGCGCGCACACACCCATGCATGTACACGCTGTACACACACACACACAGGAACACCCATGCATGTGCGTGCTGTACACACACACACACACAGGAACACCCATGCATGTGCGTGCTGTGTACACACACACACACACACGTCACACCCATGTATGTGTACACTGTACAGATGTACACACACAGACACACCCATGCATGTACACGCTGTACACACACACACACAGGAACACCCATGCATGTGCGTGCTGTACACACACACACACACAGGAACACCCATGCATGTGCGTGCTGTGTACACACACACACACACACGTCACACCCATGTATGTGTACACTGTACAGATGTACACACACAGACACACCCATGCATGTACACGCTGTACACACACACACACAGGAACACCCATGCATGTGCGTGCTGTACACACACACACACACAGGAACACCCATGCATGTGCGTGCTGTGTACACACACACACACACACGTCACACCCATGTATGTGTACACTGTACAGATGTACACACACAGACACACCACACACACACACACACACACACACACACACACACACACGTCACCAAAGGCAGACCCCCTCGGGGCTCCTCTTGGTTAACTTCCATAGATCTACATGGGAACTAATGCCTTGTTCTTGAAGCCCCAGTCTGGAGAGTGTGAATCAAGAAAATTATTATTATTATTATTATTTGTAGTTTTCTGGGCATTGAATCTTCCCCCTTTGGATTTCAACCTTGACCTTGGAAATACACAGTAACCTATGAGCACGCTATGTCAGCAGGCATGATGTGGGAGCTTGATCTGTCCTCCATGAGGAAGTAGCTGTCCCCCTGAGGACTTGGAGGAGTCTAACATGATGCTGGGTGCCTTCCAAGATGTAGGGCTGTATGGAAGGATGGCATTGAGGATGTACTAATGCAACTGAGGGTCATGGGACAAGCAATCTAATTTGGGAATTATGGTCTCTGGAATCAGCTGCTTCCAATGTCCAAGGGCAGACATCAACCCATAACCAAAATGTATGATCACCTTTGACAATAGGAGGGCTCAAAGAGTGGCTGGGTGGGCAAGGCAATGCCAAGTGGGCATGAGGGGACAATGTCTACTGCTGCCATTCACCCTGGGACAACAGGGTTTGTGTGTGGTCATAGTTAAGGAGATTCAACTGTGACAAATAGAGGTGACACCTGGCCCCAGGCTTCATTCAGACCCCAGCTCAGGACTGCCATCTGTAGCCTTTCTGGCAGGCAGCATTTGGCTTACCCACCCTTGGGGGTAGGGAACTGGTGTCCCTCCCCTTCTCCTGGTGGCCATGGCCTTTGCAACTTGGCTATGCTGGGAAGAAGGTCCTATATCCAGTAGATGGTGCCAGCTTCCTGTGAAATCCATTGGGTCCCCAGGCTATCCAGGGGCTACAGAGTTCATGTCCCCACTCAGGTGTCTGAGGACATGGAGTTGGAATTGGAGAATCCTGCTTCTCTGCTTTTGGCTCAGCTTCTTGGCTTTTTATTTTTATTTTTTATTTTTTGGTCTTTTGAGTCAGGGTCTCCCTGTAGCCCCAGCTGTCCTGGAACTCACTATGTAGACCAGGCTGGCCTCAAACTCACAGAGATTGGCCTGCCTCTACCTCCCAAGTGCTGAGATTAAAGGTGTGTGCCACCATGCCTGGCTCAGCTTCTCAGTCTTAACCACAGGGAAGATTTGGATTCTAACTCCCTCCTTTCAAAGTTCATGTCCTTTCAATGAGTCTCATCTTGTCCTTTCCTGAGACTCAAGGAACTAAGGATAGTTTTACGGAAGTGAGGAACTTCCATCTCCCCTATTCGGACTAACAAATCTCTATTAATATAACCCTGCTATGTCAGCATTTCTCTCAGCTATGTATATACTAGAGTCTACTCAGACTCTCAACTTCATATTATTTTCACAGGAATGGGGGTCAAGCATACCACACTGCTTATCCCTTCATCTTGTAGTTAATCACTGTGCTTTCTGCACACAGACCTACAGACATCAGAAAGGACTTCCAAGGGTTGGGGAAAGGGCATGGCTGAATGGATGGTGTGAGTCACCATTCTGCCTTGGCCCTGCTCCCCTGTTCCATTACCTTTCTCTTTGATCCCCATGGCTCTGGCCAAGTTAATAGAGCGAGAAGCAGAGACCTTTACTGTCTCAGTTCCGGCTTGCCAAGGACAAAGCCTGTTCCTGGGAGGGGAGGCAAGGAGGCAGTCAAGGCTGACTTTTCCTTCCTTGCTGATAGTGGTCCAACTCTGCTGCTCCCATCTTTTGGGCTCAGGCACCCTGATGCTTGCTGCTCTCAGCCCAGCCTTAACTCAGCTATCAGTTGAAACTGGGATAGCTGCAGTTGCTCCTGACATAGATACCCGAGTTGTCCTGGCCTAAAGGACAGGAGACCGGCACCAACTCCAGGCTTGACCTCTTAACTTACTGCGATGCTTTTGATAGATCTCTGGCCTTTCTCCAAGCCTCAGTTTCCCCACATGCAAGGTGAGGGGACTTGAACAGTTGATGGCCTTAATAGTGCTGGAGTCTGATGCTCTAAGGTCTGGTGCTCAAGTGACTGAGCCTTGGACTTGAACCCAAGCTGGGGTTTTGTTTCATAGTCCTTAGGCCCAGGAGGTACCTGGCTGGCCTGGTAGAACCCCTCATACCCTTTCCTCTATTCCAGGATGCTTTGCTGAGCTTGGGTGCCATCATCGATGTTGCGGGTCTGCGACAGGCTGCCAAGGATGCCCTCTCAGCTGTGCTCCCCAGAGTGGTAGGTAATCTGTCCTTTCACCCTCCCCAGTGTCCCACCAACCCCCTCAGACTTAGCCCAGCTTTGATATGCACCTCACACTGCCCAAACCTTCCTTCAGATTTGGAATATGTATAGTGCAGGTGGGGTTGAGGCTAGGCATAAAGAAGAACTTCCTGGAGGTGATGGAGTGCTCAGCCTTGATGCATGGATCTTGTTTTGGGTTAAAGTGTTTGGCTTGGAGGCAGGAGGCTGACCTTTAGCAGTCTTTAAGCTTCTCTCTGTCCCATCTCAGTGCCATGCATTGGGGTGGTAAGTCAAGGGTGGAAACCACGGTCACCTGAGCCCCAAGTGCTTTGCTGAGGATGCTGAACCTCACTTTAGCTGCCCTAGGTCACTCCTGGCTCCAATGCCACTGCTCATCCTTAGGCAGGAGGCAGCTAGACCAGCTTCAGGAACCAAACCAGTAGATCACAATTGTGCCAGATGGAGGGACACAGAGGACTTTGGAACCTGGACAATGGGGTCTGAGTCAGCCTAAGGGACACAGAAAACCTCCTGGTTATGGAAATGCTCAAACCAAGTCCCGATAGCCTTGAACGCCCCTCCCTACTCTACTCTCTCCACTCTTCAGCAGCCTCAGCTTAAGGAAACATGGCCAACTCAGGATGCGCCCTTCCCACCCATTGTCCCTGGATCTGAGTGATGGATGAATCTCTAGAGGCCCAGAGAGGGAGGGTACTTCCCCAAGGTCACACAGCATGACAGGGACAAATGGGATTTGGCATCTAAGCATCCCAATTCCCTGTTCTCAGCTCTGTCTTCCCCAAACCTCCTAGAAGTTCAGTGCCCAGGAGGAGGGCTAATGACTGAGCTTTATTGAGCGTGAAATTGGTAGGAAGTGGGTGGTGTGTTGGCACCCAAAAATAAATCCTCTGGGAGAGGGTTGTGACTGAGACAACATCTGGTCTGGGGTGGAGACACATCTGGACAGCGAGGGTTGGGGAAGCTGCCAGGTCAGAGACCACTGGTCTGCCATACTCTGCCGTGCAAGCCTCGAGACTGCTGAGAGAGAGAGAGAGAGAGAGAGAGAGAGAGAGAGAGAGAGAGACTTGGCAGGGTAGGTGACTAGCTTGATGCAGCCCAAAGCTGAGGCTGGAATGGCAGCTGAAGTCTAAGGGACAGTGGATGTTGCTCAGGAGGCCAGTGATGCGCTAGAATGGGCTGGGGAGCCCTGGCTTGGGGGAGACCCAGCTTGACTGCAGGGAGGGACTGAGCCTCCCTCCAGAGGTGGGAGTTGGGGGAGGAGGAGAAGCTGTGGCACCTGGCTCCCTCATCAGCACCCATTGTGGCAGACAGCCCCAGTGCAGATGGTGCTGATGTGTACGAAACGCATCCCTCCTTCCCCAGTAAACTCAGCTAAATTTAACCCAGAGGGCTGAGAGTGAGAGGGTGGGAGGCGTGGACACCCGGAAGTGAAGGGAGGCTCTGTCTCTGACACCCCAAGGCCACCCACCCTTCTCTGAGGGAGGATAGCCTCTTGGACACTGGGTGCCTCTGGTAGGGTCTGAACCTGTTTAGGCGCAATAACACCCCCAGAGCTGCTCAGCTGATGACAAGGAGGACTCTGGAGAGAGCTGAGGGGCGGCAGCTCCCTCCCTGTGGTTCTTTGTCCCTGGATTCTGGCCTAGAAGCTGGGCATGGTGGCTCACACATGAGCACTCTGGGAAGCCAAAGTGAGAGGATTGCTGCAAGTCTGAGGCCAGCCTGGGTTGCATGAGAAACCTTGTCTCAAAAACAAAGACAAAGAATAACCCCAACATCAAAACAACAGAAACTCACAGTCTTATCTCCTTGTCCTCCGCCTCCTGGGCTCTGACATCCCCCTCTCACACCATCACCACTGAACACAGCTCAGGGTCACCAGAGGTCATGTTGGGGCATTTCCTGGAGGCAGTCGAGAGGCATAAGAACAGCTAGCAGGGTTGTGGCTTTCACAGTCTGCTGGGGACCCCATATTTACTGAGGAGGGCCTTTAAGGCCCATCCTGCTTCTCTCAGAGAGGAGTCTGCTCCAGCCTCCCATAGAGAGTGCAGCCACCTGTGTGGGATGGGGGTTGGCTGGGACCCCTAAGGGTGGCAAAGCTTCCAGTCTGTGCTCCCAACTCACTCACCTTGCACAGTGGTTGGTCCAAAATGCAAACCTGCCTTATCCCTGCTCCCAGCTGTTTCTAAGGCCCTTCAGCCTTAGCCTGCTCACCTCCAGCCAGGTAACCCTCAAGCCTTCACTCCACTGTCAGTTCTGAAATGCCTCTTGCTCTCTATACTACTTGGCCTACCTGCATGTCAGTTCCAAACTCCACTCATACCTGAAGTGGGTCCAGTTCGAGCTTAAAGACTCCTTCTTCTAGGAAACCCTCCAGGGTTCCCACAGAGGATGGGCGCAGTGCCCTGGACATGGTCTCTTGGTCATGGGGGTGTTGAAAGAAAGGAAGCTTCCTCAGGTATCCTAAAGCCAGTGTGGCCAGCATGCCTTACCAAGTATGGTTTGCCAAATGCCTGAGGCTGGAGTTCAGTGTGAGGGTGAGTGGTGTGCACCTGGGATTTGGAGTGATTAGTAAGAAAATGGACAGATTTATGGATGGCTGCCTGTGCAGGACCCTTTCCCAAACCACTAGGCATTGCTGTCTAGGGCCCTGTGGCCTTGCCATGTACATTCGGTGGACAGACTAGGGCTACAGCCTCTCTATAGAGTCTTACAAGGGCTTTTGGTTCTAGGAGACTGTCTACACCTATCTATTGGATGGGGAGTCCCGGCTGGTTTGTGAGGACCCCCCACATGAGCTGCCACAGGAAGGAAAAGTCCGGTAAGTTACTCCTTGCTGTCCCTCAACCCTCTGTCACCGTTAAGAGGACCCAGAGTTGAAGCACCATCCGAGACCAACTGATCTGACCATTTTCTTGACTCCAACTTCCCTTCTAGGGTTTCCAGTCCAGAAGGGGACAAGCAGTGTCTCCTCTTATGCTTGGGAAGTGTTTAGGACAGGCCCTTTTCTCATAGGCTTCTCACAATGTAGCCTTGAGTGGCTTTGAAAATACAGTGATCCTCCTGTCTCAGCCTCCTGAGCACTGGGATTACAGATGGCAGCCATCATGCCTAGTTCTCAAAGAATTCTGGATTGCTGTGGCTGCTCAGAGTGTCGTCTCAGAAGGCTGAGGGGGTAAGTGGGAGGGGCTACAGTGTCTTAGTTCCAATCCCAACCTGCCGTGAGCACTGTCTGTGAGGATGGGTTTGGGATTGTGGTGCATAGAGCCCACAGGGATGTATGGCATCATCTTCCTAAATCTGAGGATCAAAAGCAACAACCTACCGATGTTTCTGGAGCCCCCAAACCTAGGTTCAAATTCCGCCTTCTTGTTTACCAGCTGTGCAACCTTGGGAAAACCATACAACCTCTTTGCACTCCAGTTTTATTTTGTTTTTTTGGTTTTTTTTTGGTGATGTGGTGGTACAGTAGTATGTATAGGGTTATTGAGAGCTTCAGATGATTTGGGATTAGTCTGCTTATGACTAAGAATCAGAACCAGGGCCTATAGAATCAGGATCTTGGTGCCCTATGGTACTGATAACTTTGAGCCCACTGAGTCCAGCTGTCTCATTTTCCAGATGGGCAAATATTGAGAACCATGATCAAGGCTACAGTGAGGTATGAGGCCAAGCCAGGTCTCCTGTTGGGAGGGTGGTGAAGTGACAGGTTCTGGAAGACCCATCTTTGTTATCTAAGGACCCAGGGAGCACTGGGTCGGGAGCAGAGGGCATAATGGCCACAGTGCAGTGGGACTGCTCCCAGAAGACAGCTTTCCAACAGCCAGCTGGTCTGCTGATGTGGGGTTTTTGGTAGTACCTGGTGTACCACTCCCAGTCACAGAGGCCCTGGGAGAATTCTGTCTGGAGATATGGTCCTGGGCACCTTTCGGTCCCTGGCATCCTGGATTCTAGGCTGGTGGTCTCTTTCCCTGGTCCTCCTAGTAGAAGAGGCTGGCTCCTCCCCCACAGCTCAGAGCCTTGCCTTCTGGCCGCTGTGTCCTATCTGAAGACTTCTGCATTTTAAAAAATGCTTTTTTTAATTTAAATAATCTATTTGTATAGATAATTGTATTATTTATTTATTTTCATTTTATGTGTATGTCTTGCCTGCATGTATGTAAGTGCACCTGTGTCATGCAAAGTGGGTGCTATGAATCGAACCAGGGTCCTCTGGAAGAGTAGCCAGTGCTCTTAACTGCTGAGCCATCTCTCCAGATCCAGATTTTTTTGCATTTTACATGGTGATAATAGTTCCACTTACGTCATTGTTGGAGGGATTAAATGCATTAAACTTTCTGCTTTTTAGCAGTACTGGTTGTTGAATCCAGTGCCTCATGCATTGCTAGGCAAGCATGCTTTACTACTGAGCAACAACCCCAACTCACCTTTTTACAAATTATTCAATGACCACATGATTAAAAGAAGCATTTCATTACAGCTTTAACATATTCAATAATAGCCGGGCGTGGTGGTGCACACCTTTAATCCCAGCACTTGGGAGGCAGAGGCAGGTGGATCTTTGTGAGTTCGAGGCCAGCCTGGTCTACATAGTGAGTTCCAGGACAGCTGGGGCTACAGGGAGACCCTGTCTCAAAAAGACAAAAAACAAAAGAACAACAAAAAAACCATATTCAATAACAATTTCCAGAGCAAACGTACATCTCTTTGGAAAAGTGCCTGTAAATTTTTAGGTTCACAATTGAATTAATACAGTTATAGAATATTGAATTCAGTATAAATCCTATAAGACAAAATTGAGTGAGGTTTTAACCTTTAAAAAAGATCTCCATTTCATTTTAAAACATACGGTTTCCTACAAAAAGATACATTTTTAACGCTACTAACACTTAGATGTTTGCACGTGCATCTCTAATCTCTATGTATCTGACTATTACTAGTCACAGTCAGTTATATTTGGATCCTTGGCACCTGAGTGTGGACATAAAGTCATCAGGTAGATTTCAATGGTAATGTTTGTCACCTCTACTGATTAACATGAAATAAATTTTTATGCTTCTTCCTCAAATATAACTCGTTTTTTTTTATTTGTTGATTTTTTGTATTTCATTCAGAACATCCCAAACAATCTTATTCACCTACCCACTTCCCAAATGGCACCCTCCCATAGCCTCCCCTTCCCCCCTCCCCCCACACTGGAGCCCATATACTCGGTCATCCCTGCTGTTACTGTCTACTGTGGTGTCGGCACCCCAGCCATTCCCCAGTGCTTGTCCATCCGTTGAATCTAGTCAGCCTATCTAGAATTCTTTGTTTTAGGAAGGTCAGCTGTTCCTCATCTAGCAGCAATCAGTTGTCAATATTCCTTTAGATAAGATTGGGGTCTGCTGTTCATTTTCCCAGTTCTATGCTGGGTTACTGTCTGGAAGTCTCTTGGGACACCCTGGCCAAAAACTCAAAGGAAGGTATAGCCTGTCTGGCATTTTTTCTTGTTATGTAGCCTTTAGCTATTCACATGGACTCTAAAAAAATTATATTGACCTCTTTAATCTTTGCTTATACTTTCCTTTTAGGTGTTTAAGACCATACAGTTGTCCCAGATAAACCAATTTATTTTTACTCTTAAGGCTGTTTGAGAATCTGTTCCTCAGGGGGTCACATGGGCTTGGGAGGAGCCCCTGGCTCCTTTCTTTTACCAGTTCCATCTGTGTGAAGATAAGTCAAAGGTCCTGCTCGACCATGGCTGGCTTTGCTTGGAAGCATGGAGGAAATGTTTCCTCTGTGTTGACCCTCCTCTTTGTAGACTGGACACTGGTTCAAGTCCATCTGGTGGGGTCTCCTCAGTCTCCTTGATCAAGAGGACAGGTGACTCACCACCGTTATAGGACATTTGGAGAGATGCTTATAGTCCCCTGGAACTTAGTCAACCTAGGAGGGCAAGGAGAAAAACTGTCCTTTATGTCCCTCTGACCAAAT